TTGGTACTTGCCAATTGAATACGAGCAACAGACCCCGATAAATGCATTTTCATTGGTGCATCCTCAGACACCTAGAACTTCCACGCAAGCCTACCAATGACAGACCTTGGGAAGTCGTCCTACGACGCCCTCAGTGGTTCCAGATGTTCGTCTCCTGCGAATGCAACGTCGTCCAGAGGTTTCTGGTCGCTTCCAGACGTAAAAATCACACTGAAGCGAAGCAGCGTCTTGAATCGGCAAATTCAATTTCCCTGTTCGGCTGATACCTTCTTACGCACAACGACTCGAGCAAGCTGCTGACCATCCCCACTAATTTATCAGATAGAAAATTCTAGACATTCTCACTAACCCTGGCCGAGATCTCGGCAAGTCGGCAAGTGCTTCAGAGGATGTGATCTTTCAAAGCAATGAGTTGTTCAGACGACATGAAGACAAAGCAACCGATGACTGCAGACTCAGTCTCATTTCATTAAAACTTCCAAAAAAGTGCTTAATATTACGTAACCTGCTCCGAATATGATCTCACGCTCAGCTTTTTAAAAATTGCCACCACATTTAAACAACATTACTAACTTCTACTGACAAAAAGTTAAGGCTACAAATTACTTCTCATATACGTAAAAGCTAGATAAATTTGAGTAAGTTGAAAAAAAGCATGTCAAAATGCATTCTAATCGCCCACACCAAAGGGAACAATAATCAGCCACTGTTCATTGGTTGCCTCAAGGTCAATCAAGGCTGCAGATGTGATGGATGCCTTGGCTAGATCAATATTTGCAGTAGGCAAATTTTTCTTTGATGTTGGAGCCCAATACACAAGCTATCTTAAATAAGCCAGCATCAAATGCGGTTTAGTAGCCCATTATGAACGGAAAATACAGGTCTCTAACTGGCTCCCTAGGGGAATTTTTCATAAGTTCAGCGCACAGAATCGGTTGCTTCCTTGCACCCGTTTTTAAACACCATGTAGAGGAATTAGGGTTTTTACCTCACTGTGATCGATAATAGGGGAATTTTACAATGCTGCTAGTGTGGTACTGGCGATGCATCAGTGCATCCGCAACTAAAATTGTCGCAAAATCGATATTTTCGAGACATTTTGCCTAGTTCAAAGTAAACTCAGGTCCCAAATGCTCCAAATCAGCTGAGGTAATTCGATTGGTCAACGAAAGTGTGGGTACGTTTTAAATTTTTTTGAAATCAGCCATAAAACGCTGTCTGCAGGATAATCTGGAGTAGGGAGTTTGTGCAATCGTGTGCACCTCTTTCCTACAAGACCGGCAAAGCACTTACACTGTTAAAAACAGTGAAATTTAAGGCTTCAAATTTGATCGTTGCGTGGTTTCTGAAATGTTGCAGCTTCACCCAATCGTGCAGTGACCTTGACACAAACCAATAGAAAGCATCTGAGTGAAACCCTGGGCTTGGTAGGTGGCACTCATGGTTTGAGGCGTTTTCCTCAAAACACTTCAGTCGCGTTTTTTCAAGTAAATTCTATTTTTTGTAACAAACTCACTGAATTACTGATGCAACGAACCAATCAGACGCAGGAGTTCGACTATGGTCGGCATCTGCGTTACAAATGTTCATTCCGTTGGGCCAGACTTGGTCGGACAGGCTAAAGGGGTAGTGTAGCACCAACCTCTTCTAAATTTCACGTGAAATTTTCACTTTTTTCGTTCACGGTACGGCCAATCGGGAGCGATTCTAGTATTGCGGATGCGCGGCTTAATTTGCAGTCAAATTACACATTTTACCCATGGTAGAAAAGCAAAATTTTGACATGCTGCCAAAATTAGTTGTGGGTGTGTAAGAGCAGGCCTGAGAAATTAGTTAACATTTTGCCGCGTGCCTCTCAAAAATCACAAAATCAATAAAAAATGCGTGTTTTAGTAAAATAACGGGTTGAATATTACTTGAAAATGACTTCAATTTATTCACCTACACACGTGAAACTCAACTTCAACCATTTAAACAAGCCAAGGTCGATCAAAAATCGATCCATTTGGCGCATTTAAACATCGATCACCAACACGAGCTGTTAGCCCTGAATTTTGAGAGCGAAATCACAGTGAATCTTGCAGTCTAAAGGCAGAAACGCTATTGAATTCTAATGTTTTGACCGTTCGGATGATGCGGAATGAGTGAAAAAGCAAACGCTAACGTTAAAATGCTGATTTTTAAACAGGGGAACAAAAATACTGCCTTGAAATGGCGCTGAATTGTCAAGTAAAAACGGTTACGTGCCTTTAACGAGGAGATGTTTTCATTCACTCAAACTCCAGCAAAAAATTGGAGTTTTTCATGGCAGTGCTCACGGAATCACAACTGAAAACTTTTTCCTTGGTTACGCCTTAATGAATGAATGTTGAGATGAGCGTAAGTTTTGCATGTATCACAACGTCTCCACTCAGAGTCTCTCTGTAAATTGTCAGATTTCTACTGTGAATGATGAATGAACTCGTTCAGTATTCCATCAAACCCCCTGGATCTGTGGATTCGCCACTGAAATTGTACTAACGTCAACCAGAATTTGATATAGAAGGCAACAGTGTTTTAAATCGATATGTAAACAGAAGATAAAGAGCGATAGCGACCAGTAAAATTTGTTCTGTTACTCCCAGTAACGCTTTGTTTTACTAAACTGTTTGGTTTGCCCGCAGTTACTGTTTACGCCGCTTACTGCTAAAATATTTCCCGTTTGAGATAACACGTGCCCGATCTTATCTGCTGTTCTTCTGTCCGGCGTGTCTGTCTGCTATGGTTTAAGCCGCTACTGTTATTTACACAACCCCCTCCGACGACACACCAAACATCAAAAGAAAAAATCTTGATTTAATGGCCTGCCAAGGTCAAGTGGTCAACGCAGGAATAACCAGGACGTAACTTTGCTAATGAGGTCAAACACACGTGCACCAGCCTGACTTTGACCCCAAATCCTATTGGAAGAGAACCGGCTTTGTCATCCAATCACAAAGCTGGCACAGTGGAGGTTGGACACGATGTCAATTTCAGTTCTAAGGTGATTGTTTCGTGGAATTTCATCGTTGTTCCGAGCCAGCATCTCTCTCGTGAAGCGTGTGCCTAATCAATTATGCGGGAATTCTCAAAATTGCTCCGGCCAAAGTACAAATCTCACACACTAAAACGATGCATTAAATTCGAAGATCTGAAACAGAAAATTATTGTTATAAGTAATAAAGGAGTTTGTTACTTTATTTAATCCAAAAACGAAAATATGAACGGAAACAGTGACGATTTAAATGTGGAACTAAGCCACAGAAAATATCGATTTTGTCAAAGTCTAAAATTTAAAACTAAAGAGGATGTCTTCTCTTGGAAACAGGAGAGTTAGGGTTAGTTGTGTCCCCATAAACGTGAACTCATATCCCAATCCGCTGCCACCACCACCACCACCATTACCCCACCACGTCACGGATAACATCGCGATGACTCACTAGCGGGGAAGAGGGTGACTATGCGGTAACCGAGTCACGCTGAAGCGGTCAATCCGGCAGTAAAATCGGAATCCCCTGCCCCACGTAACCACACTAGCCTGGAGGTTGATAGTCATCTCTACGCGATGGACTAATGTCTCGCAGACCAGCAGATTTCTGGTAGTTGTTTGATAGAATGTTATGGGGTGATTTAAGTGTAACTGTGTTATGCAGACTAACACAACCCTTCATTCACCCTCCATGGAAGAAAAACTTTTCCTAGTGACTTAAATAAGTTAACTCATAGCCAATAAGAGTGGCCCTCGTACGGCCTTGAATTAACGCCCAGGTTAAGCAGAGTCGATACATACTATAACAGTCTACAAACTGCAAATGTCGTTTAGAACGAATATCTGCTTCAGTGACGTAACTAAAACGAGTGCGCTGTATGGATCACCTAAATTGCCTGCTCCGGTAGTGACCTTGACAAAAGTACTTGCGATGAAAATGAAATTTAGTAATTCAGACAGGGTGCTCAAGTCCATTTCTGTGTATTTCAAGAAGGAAATTTTGACAAATTTCAACTAAGGCAGCATCTCTAGTTGAAATTACTCTGGTGGTATAACTACACAAATTATGCGCAATCAACTTCCAAAATTAACGTTCAAATGGCAGAATTTACCGCGCTTGATTTGCTCGCAAACCTACGTGGCTGTATCGATCGACGACAAGCAGCCAATAAATCGATAGCCATGCAATTTCGGCTGAACTGTGCTGCCTGAAGTGAGTTGCGACCGCTTGAGCTCGCTTAGCCAATCACAAACCAGCTTTGATCTGGCGAGTTCCAAGGTGAACGGTTGTTGTTTGGACGTCAGAATTTAATTAATTAGAATAGACAACAAAAGTGGGTGTAGTAGGCCCGTTTCAGGTGCCACTTCTTAACCGCTCAAGCTGCCTCCACATGGTACTTTGACCTGAAAGTGTGTTTATTTGAACGAACGTTGTGATCAAACTCCAACCGCTGATGCGTTCAACGGCGGTGAGACTTACCTGGTTGTGTGAACAAATGAGTAAAACGTTTGCGTATTTCCTTATTTGGTTGGAATTAATAGGGATGAGGTTACCTGTTGAGTAAATTGCTTCCAAATAAATTTTGTTTTGACCCTCCACACATCGCAGTGCAGTGGATATGCCAAGACATTTACAAGAATTATGATAAATTACGATGCAAACTCTCAAAATGTCATAGATTGTTTATAATTTCACAAAGGAGAGTGAACGAAATTTTGTGGATGCGGGCAAGGCAGTTGTTAATAGTACACGATGCACTTGGTTATGTGAGGTCGATATCAGCAGGACATTCGTTGCGGTTCAATCACACGAATAATCGGCAGTCCTCGCTATTTCGAAGCATCATCGACTATTTAGCAGAACACCTGGCAAAACTTAGCCCTGTCGACATCGCCCGGGTTCAATAATGCGATGGGTTTGCGGTTTTGTGGCATTCAGCGTGTGCTTTTTTACGGCTGTCCCACTTGCCGACAACGACGATCCACAAATCACTCAGGCCTCCGCCTCCACGGTGGTGTGATTAGGGTGGAGAAAGCCTGTTAGTCGGTTACCTCGACCAGCTGTTGATGAGGTTACAACATCGCCAACAGCTACCTCTTGTCCATCTGGCAAGAAGCCAGGCGGACTGAGGAACGGTGAATTAGTCACCATGGCTGTCGGGGAACGCCGCATGGGTATTTACTGTGGCTTTACCAAGCAGGATATGGCAAAAAAAGTACAAAAAATGTCTTTTTCTTGACGCGGAAGGCATGAGATTGCGCCAAATCACCAGACGCAGCGAATGATGGACGATATACAGCAGAAACATTCTTCTCCGCAAATGACCGTTCAATTCAATGATCGGGATAATGCCAGTGGTACCCGAAGAATGACTTTTCCACTGAAAGACCTCCATGGACTCAACGTGAAACCCGGCTAACTGATGAAGATCACCTCAATGTCCAAATAGTCGTTCAAACAAAAATATTCATCGAAAGTCGTCTAATTTTTTCAGTATTTGGATTCGTTACCTTTTCTGGTGTTACAATAGCGTGATTGTAAATATATTTAAGGCGTGTCATCCAAATTGCAGAAATTAATTCCCACATTCAACGCGTGGTCCGCAATTTCAAAGAAATCTATGCTGGATTGCCATCTTTGTCGTCAGCAGATGCATCTCCATCGAAACGCGACCTCCACACCAGCACATTCTATTCACAAATCTTAACGACCGTTAAGGTTTCACTGCGGCATCACTGTGTACCAACATTTCGGTTTAAAACTGTTGTAGCAACAAATGCTGAAGTCGAAATCATTCCATCGAAAGTAAACGAAAACGCTGATTCAATTGGTTAATTTGAACTTTCCGGGTAAACTTGTTAAGCGACAATGTCGACTCGAGGGCTCATTGACTCACTCCTGTTAATTAAAAGGAGTCGTTGCCATGACAACGGCATTAAATCACTTTGTGTGTACCGAGTTAAAATGGCCTTAACTATAGCACATTAGTGTTTAATTTTTGTGGATGCAAAATTTCTCTTATCCTGAGTGAAGTCAACCGGTAGTAACAAGCAACATTATATTTTGATTTCAACATATTGTACTACACCTAATAAACAATTTTTTTTCAAAAAAATTCGATTAAAACAAAAGTTTAGTAAATGTTTCGTCTTAAATTCGAGCGCTCTAAGGTGATAGGGCATCAGATTTTCTACCGCCAAATAAAAACGGTCTCCAACCTCATTGATTTTCTCCAAATTAAACCAGTCCAGATTCCTTCCATTGCAAACCTATTCGGGGTTATTAACTCTGCCGAAGTTTACAAAACTATTCTTGCTATTCCAGAGGAAGAACATTCAAGATATCGGGATTTCAAGGAGCAAGCAAGCCATGTCTTCTTGAAACTAAGGTCAGGTTGCCACGTAGTTAAATCTGATTGAGAGGACTGAATTGGTTTGAAGGCTATTTGGTGTAACCACCGACGTAATTGGCTTGTTCAAAACCCACGCACAGGTAATAAACGCGAAAATTCCTCATTAGTATAGCTGATTTTAACCAAAGTTAGCAAAAGCCGAAATATGTGTTTAGGGGCACGGGAGAGGGGATGAGGGGTCAAGCGGTGGGAAGGGGGGGCAGGGGGTGTTCGGGTGGGTGCGTGCTGTGCTAGAGGGAGGGGGAAGGGCCGGGAAAGCGAGTAACAGCACCTCTGTTGGTGCGTTTGTGTGTACAAAGCAGAGCCGAAACATGCACGCTGCCAAGCAATTGTCACGTCATAGTCATTACAAATTAGGGTCTAATGACAGTTTAAATCTGTAGGAGGAAGTCGGTTTGATGTTGCCGATGACGAAGGATAGTGACCACAATTCGAGGACCTTGGGGAGGTTGGAGGAGAACTTGGGTTTCTTGCATTTGTACACTGGATGATTGAGGTATTCAGCCGCTGGATTCAACGTCCCACGGTCGAGTAAGTATAGGAAAGACTTCACGGAGCATGAGTACACAATTATAGCCTTCACACGCTGGACATGATCTACGACCAGAACACAAATCAGCTTGGCAGATGTTGAGATCTTTCGAAAGTTGGTTTGAGGGTAAGGATTTGCGAATGAGCAGTCGAAAGGGGTACCTGAAATGGATCAAGAGAAAGGTTCTTAGACAATGCTCCGTGGTGGTGTCATCAGGTGGTGGGGAAGCCTGTCGTAAGGTCACGAGGTCAGGCATAGCGTCCACGTGTACGCGTGATGAGTCATCACAGCTTCACGAGGCAGTTAGGTACCAGAAGGTTCCGTGGACGTGCTTCAAATGTTTGCAGTAATTGGAGTTCAATGTCATCAAACTGGATGTGTTCTACACAAAGCTGCACATCCCATCTTTGCAGCAGTTGGAAAACTTTGAAAGTACATTAAACCTCTCCATCAAGTACAAAAATGAAGGAAAATTGTTTTGTAAAATAACATTAACGTGTGCATACCTTAGCCATGAAAGTGTGATCTCACTGTGTTTTGGGGGTGGCTGCGTGTGTGGGTCCCCCGCAGGTCAGTCATTTTTTGAAAATGGCGACGTCTGCGCACCGTTGAAAGCCGAGGGGTCATGACTAGCTCCGTCGGCCGGGGAGTCGTGATTCTTGGATCGCTTCTCTCTGTGATGGAAAGGGATCAGGCTCTTGTACTTCTTCGAACGTCGTTTCTTGCCCCATTTAATCTCTAAGCAAGGCAAAACGGAATCCGCTTACATCTTGACATGCTTGAAATCGAATTTACACACTAGGGTACTTACCGCCTGAAGCGTCGCTTGCTTCCCCTTCGGCTAGGGCAGTGCGCAGGAATTGGGCGTCCGCGGAGGTAACAGTCATTGTCCTTCGTGATTCACCCAGAGGCCATTCTGGTTCGTTGGAAGGCAGGGCATCATCGTCGATGTAGGGCACGTCATAGTCTTTGTCACTCTTCCAATGACAACTCGGCAGTTTTGTGGGCGTGATGGAATAGGGGAAGAGGTGATCGTCATTGCGGAAGGTGCAGTTCCGCGGAGGAAAATCGAGGGTACTCCATGGCCTAGGTCTTCGCAGCGGGGAGGATTCGGTGTAGTGGCAGCGGTAGGCATTCGAGAGCCACTCAGAGATGTCCTCGTCGATGTGACGTGGAATCGGAGGCGGGGGAGGTGTTTTGCGGTCGGCTTCCGAAGCTGAAACGACCACCTGGTCTGGATGATGCCATGTTTGGCGTTGTAGTCGCTCACTTGCTGCGGTGCTACTCGACTTGCGCATTTTTGGTGTAGACACGTCTGGCTCCTGTTGAAGGGGAACTTCTTTGGCCTTGGTGTGTTTCTTCGATCGTTTCTTTTTGGAAAACAACGATTTTGGTTTCGGCGGTTCTGACTGATCTTGGTGGCCATTTTGTTCATTCAAAAGCATCAAGGCCTCGCTTGGCAGGGTGGGTTCAAGTGATTCAACTCGAAGCTCTCCAGCCAGCTTTGGCACAGTCTCTTCATGGGATTGCACGACCGGTTGAATGTCCGCTTGAATTCCCAGATCCTCATCTAACGAAGTCGGTTTGTCTCGCTTCTGGGTCTTTGCTTTTCGCTTGCCAGTCGTTGAAGGTGAGCCACCATCTTCCACACCACTCGAGGAACTAACAGCGGAACGCCTGCGTCTGGATTCTTTCGATTTTTTGCGGCGCCAACTCATGTGTGGCCACTTGAAACCTTTCTTGATCTTCTTCTTGCGTTCATCCGTGGCTGGTGCCTCCTCGTCAATTGTCCCTACGCCGTAGGACATCTTAAACTCGGGGGTCGCTGAATGGACCCAGAAATCACGCGGCGATATGGGCATGCTTTCACCCTGAGATGAAGTGTCCAACTCTGAAGCAGTCATGTCAGAGTAGGAATTGTTGTCCGCAGGATAACCCGGCTCCAACAAAGCAGCACCTTCTTTCGGTAACGACGTAACAACTTCGGAGGTGCTCAGGCCATAACTATAGCACTTTTGAACAGTTCCATCTACACCATCATCACCGTTATTTGTTCCGGACACAGAAGCCTCAGCATCACCATGTGAAATAACATACTTCGACGACAACAGTCCTTGCCTTTGTGGCTTGACAGGTTTTCCTTCCACATGTCCAGAGAGCTTTACGATGTCCGTGTCTAACTCAAGAACCTCAGTTTCGACGGAATGGAGAGGTGGGGTGGAGAGGGAAGAAACAGCAGTAGGCTTAACATCGCGATGACCTCTAACTTTCTTCGAAAAATGCCAATGATAAGATGGGACAGAAACATCTTCCTCCGAAACCACAATCACATCTTTCTCCAGGCCGGAATGACGATCAATTGGAGCAGAAACAGACAGTGACGGAGCAGCGACATCAACATGCATAGAATCGGAACCACAAATACTAGTGTCAACATGAAGGGGCTTAACGTCAGCAGTTAAACAGGGGGCTGCCAAGTGCACTTCGGCTTCTGGTGTCTCCACTTCTCCCTTCGGCAGCTCCAGCTTCCCATGCTTGCCACCCACCTTCCAC